CCTGCCCTTTGCCTAAATGACCTTTCTCCCCTGTCCCTCCATAACTTTGGGTAACTGCTGCCAGCGAGTGCCACGAGGCAGTAACAGTGCTGTGTATTGTACTTTGTGTAGCTTATCGGCACTTCTCAGTATAGGTGGGAGGAACCATTACCTTTATTTAACAGTGGTTTTTCTTTTTTGTTGTTGTGTTTTACAGTTCTTTTCCCTGGTTCAGCCTGAACTATATACCAGGCCCTGCTGAAAATACCACCCAACAGTTTTCTTCTGCAGCTTATCCAGTTTCTCTTAAGTGCCCTGTACATATTGTATGTTTTATGATGAGATGCAGTTTCCTAATGTGTATTACAGAAACACTACTGGTATTTGCAAATATATAGTAACATTGTTTTATTGAACTCTCATTTTGGGGGCTTGGGCACATTAACAAATTAATCCATCTGTATAGGGCTTTTGCTGTTGGATAGAGTAAAAAAACCCCGAAAGATCCCTACACAATTGTTGCCTAGTAGGACCCTTCAAAACCTCTCTGTGCAGAGCAGGCAGTGAAATGAGCCACTTTGTCTTAGTTGGCTGCAAGACTTGGGGGCCAGAAGTTTCCTCTGACATGGCAGTGTGTAGCAGCATTGTTGGCACACTAAGCATGGCACATATTGGAACAATTGCATTTTACTGCACAGGTAAGGAATGTGCCGCACACACACCACACCCTGTCTGTCTGCAGCCACCCAGCAGCACCCACAGCTACACAGCCAGCCAGGCCTGGGGGCTGCACACACCTCCCCCTGTGCCAGCAAAAGCCCTAGGCTCAGCCAGCCCCACCTCCTGCCATACCTCCTCCTGTAAGCTTGCCAAAAACGTTACGTGGTAGGTGTAAAAAGCAAAACATAGTGAACTGTACCATATTATTAACCCCTAAATCCAACTTTTTTTGTCTTGTGTATCTTGATTTTTCTGTGTGCTTTGTAGTGAAGCAGCCGACACGAGTCGTTGTTGTAAAACAGCTTTTGAAAGTTGAGAGCACACCCCTGGAGAACCGACTGTGCTTGCTTACGTTTGGTTCATGACTTAAAAATCCAGTTCAGGTGATGAAACCTTGGCAGTGTTATAACAACAAAGTAGTGTGTATTGTGCTATCTTTTTTATTTATTTAATTTTTTTTTTTTGCTCTAGAAAACTTAACCATTTGTAGAGAAAAAGGAAACAGTTTTTTCACCCCTTTGACGTTTCTGACAAAAAAAAAAGTTAATGATAAATAGTAATAAGCCATCAAGCTTTGTATTTTAGCCAACATAAGTACTTTCAACAAACTCAGGTGGTGTATCAGGGAGACTTTGCTGGGTGTATTTGTGTATTTTCTGCCTCTGCACTGGGGTACACTCTAATGCAAGGCTGTTTCTCTGCAGGAGTCATTCCTGATGAGACTAAGGCTTTGTCTCTCTTGGCACCAGCTAATGCTGTGGCAGGTCTGCTGCCTGGAGGTGGACTCCTGCCCACTCCCAACCCACTCTCTCAGGTAGGCTGAAGCCAGGGGGGAGCACTGGGTCTGTTCTGCCTGATTCTCACTTCATTTATGCTGTTTTTTTCAGGACTGATGTCCTAATGCCAATTTTTAGAGTAGTTCTGTACCCTGATGGATTGTTACAGCTCTCTGATATGATTTGGGGCAAAATAATTGGAGGTGGACTCCTGCCCACTCCCAACCCACTCTCTCAGGTAGGCTGAAGCCAGGGGGGAGCACTGGGTCTGTTCTGCCTGATTCTCACTTCATTTATGCTGTTTTTTTCAGGACTGATGTCCTAATGCCAATTTTTAGAGTAGTTCTGTACCCTGATGGATTGTTACAGCTCTCTGATATGATTTGGGGCAAAATAATGCCAAGCTATGGGATGCTTCCTACAGTGTGCTCCTGGGATCCCAGGGGCCTGTTTGTTTCTGCCTCCGGTCCCTTCTCATCCATTGTACTTATGGATGTGACAAGCAGGAGAGATTTCATAGACTTTAGATGCATGAAGTCCAAGAACCTGTGAGATTCCTTTCCTTACTGGTCAGCTGAGGGGAAAATTGGAGCCCCCAGAGTTCCTGTGGAGGATGAGCAGTGAGAATAACACATTGCGGGAACAGCTCGAGGCAAAGCTCAGCTCTTCCTAGGAAACAGAGGAAGTACAAGTGACAAATTAATAAGAATAAAGCCTCATTAATTCTGCAGTTCTCCAACCTACATCTTCAGCTCCTGCTCAGCTGAAGGACCCCCTTGCCATGGAGCTGCTCACGAGAGCTCTAACCCTCTGTGGAGGGAAGAGCCTAAATGTAAACCTGGAAGGTCAAGGAAAGGGAGGGCAGAGCCAAACACAGCCTGGAAGATTTTGTTCATTAGGAACTGCTTATGTAAATCCCTGAAAAAGGTGGTTGAACCACCTTAAATTTAGTTTTCTCTGAGTTTCAGTCCATTTGATCGTGGGAATGTATTTAACACATCCGTTCCATGGGAATTTGGTGGAGAGTCAGTTGTTTCAGACACACTTTGACAGTGTGTGATTGGTTTCAGTGTCTGTCCGGATCATCTCACCTGAAATGGCCCCAATTGAGCTGCTTTCCTCAGGTTTCCAGAGGAATTTCAGGAATTCAACCCTGTGCTATTATACAACTTGCTCTTCCAGTAGCTTTCCAACCCCATTGCAACCGAAAGTCTGCAGGGATGTCACACTGTTGTATTGCCTTTCAGCATAAAGCATGTGAATCCTGAACTGAATGAGAAATGAGTTGTTTGCCTCAGAAACTTTCCATGATTTTCCATTTTAGCACTGGCAAATCATTTTAACCTCTTCCTTGAATTGGGTTGAATGCTTTTCTTTCTTACCTGTTTTCCCCCCTACCTGTCAGGATGCAGAGAAAACAAAACGTCATTCTGGGATGTTTATAGGAAAACCCCCACTTGGGTATACTAAGCTTTGGATTACCTGAATAAGGAATCTTGAAACTCAGCTTTGTGTGATGTTCCCTGAAGCTGAAGGAAAACCCAGCTGAAGTTTGCACATGTGTCATGCATGGAAATGTTGATTTGGTCGGTTTTTGTGTGTGAATGTGGCTGTGCTAATTGCTGTCCCTGTCCCAGATTGGTGCTGTCCCTTTAGCTGCTCTAGGAGCTCCTGCTCTCGATCCTGCCCTTGCTGCTCTCGGGCTTCCTGGAGCCAACCTGAACTCCCAGGTAGGTCACATCCCAAGCAGCCTTTGCTGTGTCCTCTGTCTGGTTTACTACTCCTTGTCATTTATATCAGTTTAACACTGAAAACTCCAGCGAGTGGTTTGTGTGAGCTCCTCCTTGGAATAAAGAGTCTGCTGGAGTATCAAATGCTGGGAAATAATTTGGGAATAGCAATCAAATATTTCAGATATTGTAAACTGTCAACCTAATTTGTGCTTACAGTCAAAAGATTGTTGGATTTTTAATTTTCCAGGTGTATAAAATACCGAGGAGAGTTAGAATGTAGTAATTAAAACTGGATAGAGAAGGCTCCAAGTACTCAGTAATAGTGGAATATTGGGCATATTTCTATGCATTTATAATACAAATTTGTAGAGCTGTGTTAAAATAAATACATTGTACATGTTTATAAATAGAATAATTAAGGTATCAGAGCCACACATTGCAGAGACATTTGTGTAGGTACAAGGAGTAATAATTTAGTGCATTGAGAAGAAATCCATCATTTACTACTCTCTTTTTACGTGGAGTAACAAGCAAATACTGGTGATAATGAAATTACAGCTGAAAAGATAAGCATTTTAAATGTATATTAGATTTTAACCTAATTTGCAGTGATGGAGGTTTGTTTCCTCTGCGCATTGAACATCTGGTTGTAACAAACTGATTGGGTTCACCTGTGAGCAGAACTAGTGAAGACTAACCCATTTTGTGGTTAATACCTGACCGGGAGTGACTAAGCATAACAACACCTGGATTTTCCTAAGAGCTGTGAAATGCACTTCTTAATGGAATTTTTAGCTGTTTCCTGTTCCTAAGTTGTGAATAGACAGCACCTTAGTTCCCTGCTGAGGCTCTGATCTCCTGCAGTAATAGCAAAGACCTGTACACACCAGCAGTGTCACTTCATACTGTTGTGCAGGGAAGAGCCTATGTTTGGCCCCTGTGGAAAATAAACCCCCTGAGCACTGCAGTGTGGTAGTCACACCCTCCCCACCCCCTCCAGTTAAACCAGATCAGTGTGCCTTTCCCTCTTTCTTTGGAGTACTTTGGTCTGGTTTTCCTTCTGTGGAGGCTTTGTGCCTTAGCCACAGCTGAGGGGATGTTCAAGGAAGATAATCTTGAGCACAAACATCTCCCAACATGGTTTTAACTTGGTTTCCCCCCCTCACATCTTCCAACATGGTTTTAACTTGGTTTTTTTTCCCCCTCACAGTCTCTTGCAGCAGATCAGCTCCTGAAACTGATGAGCACAGTGGATCCAAAGTAAGCATGGGTGTTAACAAATGCTTGTATTGCACTGCATGGGATGTGGGGAATATCTGTGTTTTTCTGCTGAATCTAACTGGCAGCTTGGACAGGGCTTGGAGCACCCTGGGCTGGTGGGAGGTGCCCCTGCCCGTGGCAGGGGTGGCACTGGATAGGCTTTAGTGTCCCAGACCATACCAGGATTCCCTGATTGTCTGAAGAGGCTCAAACTGACACCTGAGCCCTGTACCTCCTGGCTCCACCAGCACTGAATTCCTGCACCTCTCTCTCCCAGGTTGAACCATGTAGCTGCAGGTCTTGTTTCCCCGAGTCTGAAATCTGATACCTCCAGTAAAGAAATAGAAGAAGCTATGAAGAGAGTCCGAGAAGCACAGTCCCTCATTTCTGCTGCTATAGAGCCAGGTAATTCCAACCCTTAGATGGGCCAGGCACTGCAGGATGGAGCTCTGAGCTCATGGGCTGCAAAGCACTGGCTTAATGCCCGTGCTTTGTCCTGACTTCATAGTTAGAGTTGGTTAATCTCCCTACAGTGAATGCTCCATGTGTCCTGCAGAATGGGGCAGGAATAACATGCAGGACACATCTTCCACGTGTTCTGCAGAATGGAGGAAGAATAAGCTTCCATGTGCCCATCAGAATGGGACAGAAATAATCTGTTGTTTTCTCCCAAATCCCTTTATTTGAAGATTACAGACTGCCCTGCTGGAAGCTCCTGCTGCAGTGGCCTTGCCACGTGACACCCTAGTGGTGTTTGTTCTCAGGGATAATTTCCTGTCTCAGCTCCTGATCTGTGCAAGTGTGTAAATAATTCTCTTTTTGGAGCTTGTTTCAGTAGATTTAATTTTAGAACAAGCTGCAGCAACTGTCAGAGCCACCAAACCTAAAAGGCTGAAACCTGAACACTGAGAATACAGTTTTGCAGTCTCCTGATGGTTCTTGGGAGAGAATAAACCTCCTGTTCTTCCCTTAGTTCAGACAGAAGCACTGCTTGCTGAGCTTTTGGGAAAATTCTGTCATTTGAGAGGCTCTTTAGCTCCTCAGAAATGGCACATTTTCTGGGATGTTCATAAAACTTTCTGTAGCCCTGCAGCCATCAGCTTTTCACTGTCTGAAATTCAGTGTGTTTTGGATTTTGGCTTCAATTATGTGTTATTTTATGTCACATACAAGTCTGTCCTGTGTTCATTCTTTCTGGCCTCTGTTCAGGAAAAGGGTAGCTAAACCTTAATTCCAAGTATCAAAGTCAGTTTTCTCTGTCTGTTTCTACCTATTATATGAAGCTCTGTGTCCTTTCTGTATAAAGCCCTTTAGAACACTGAAATAACACAGTTTTTCCTATGTTTTCCCCATTTCCCTGCAGACAAGAAAGATGAGAAGCGAAGACACTCAAGGTCGAGGTCACGCTCGAGGAGGAGGAGGACACCTTCCTCCTCCAGACACAGGTACTCACCTCATGTGCTTTAAACTCCTCACACAGCTGAAACAATTCCTTCCAAAATACTTCTTGGAAGGGACACTTAGATTTGGGTCAGTGCTGTAAAGGTTTGGTCACATTTCAGTGTCACTTACCTGAGTTCCTCTGCATAGGCCTGAGAGTTTCCTGCAGAGGGAGGAGGAAGAGCTGATTGATTGATGATTGGTTTGGGTTTCTCTATCACTGTGCACTGCAAACCATGAATGCTGAGCCTCCCCAAATGTCCCATGTCTGACTGCCACATTCATGTGTCCTGGCAGACGGTCCAGAAGCAGATCCAGGAGAAGGTCCCATTCCAAATCCAGAAGCAGGAGGCGATCCAAAAGTCCAAGGAGAAGAAGATCTCATTCCAGAGAGAGAAGCAGAAGGTCGAGGAGCACATCCAAAACCAGGTAATGGCTCAGGAGATCCAGTCCTGACCAGGACAGTGTCTGTCCCCTGTGCTGGCACTGCTGAGACACTGACAGTCCTGGAGGCACTTCTGGGCCCCTCATGACAAAACATTGAGGGGCTGGAGGTGTCCAGGGAAGGGAGTGGAGCTGGGGAAGGTCTGGAGCACAAGGAGTAGCTGAGGGAGCTGTGGGGGCTCAGCCTGGAGAAAAGGAGGCTCAGGGGGAACCTTATGTCTCTACAACTCACTTCCCTACATAGCAAATCAGGACCTGCTGCTTGTACAGATTGAAAATGACTGGAACTTAATGCTCTTTTTTTAACTTAAAAGGGATAAAAAGAAGGAAGAGAAGGAAAAGAAACGATCTAAAACTCCCCCCAAAAGTTACAGCACAACCAGGCGATCCAGAAGCACAAGCAGGTACAGGGCCTGGGGGTTTCCTTGGGCTGTTTCCAGCATGGTTTGATTCACTTGATATTAAATAGACAGAACATTCCCATGCTAAAGCAACTGTTCTAGTGGGAGGTGTCCCTGCCCATGGCAGGGATGGGACTGGGTGTGCTTTGAGGTGCCTCCAACCCAACCTGTTTAGGATTCCATTGGGTGATGGTTCCATTGTGGATTTGTCTGTACAGGCACTAAAGCACCTGTACTCCCTGTGTCTATCAGACACTTTATTTTGCCCTGAAATTCTGATATTCCTTTGGGCTTAGAACAGTTGCTCCTTGCTCTGTATGTGTGAGGTCACTGCCAGGCTCTTCCCTGGCTTATGGGTGTGCCATTGGTTTATAAACTCCCCAGTTTCACTGGCAATTTTAACAACTGATCAGTTTTTATTTGCAAGAGAGTCAAATGCTGCAGGGTCTGTGCAGGTGGAGCAGGACACACTTCATCAGCTCTGGGAGCTTTGCAGTGCTCCCGGTGGTGACCACATGTTTGGGGTTACACATTCAGTCCCCCAGGGCAGGGGGAGGGCTGGGCTGGGGGACACAGATGCATTTGTAGCTTGAATAAGATAGAAGAGCTCAGTGGAAAAGGTCTAAGCTATGACTGGCACTAACTGGGAGGTGCATTGTGTCCTTGCTGCAGGGAGCGGCGCCGCAGGAGGAGCCGAAGCGGCACGCGCTCGCCCAAGAAGCCCAGGTCTCCCAAAAGGAAAATGTCCCGGTCCCCATCCCCACGGAGGTCAGGGACACACCTGGCTGAGGGAAAATGGAGGCTGGGGGGGTAATTCCCAAAGTGAGACCTGTAGGGAGTATCCCAGGGGACTGTGTCGGGTGTGGGGTGGGTCTCTGCCAGCTGTTGGCCCTTTCATCATCGTTCCATCAGCTCTGAGCACAGAGCTGCTCTGTCAGTGCCTGGAGCTCCAGGGGTGAGGGGTTCCAGGGGTGAAGGAGTAAGTAGGAGATGCCAGAGTTCCTGGTCCCCTTGGCTCTGTACAGTGGGAATCACCTGAGCTTGGGTGGGCCTGGGAGGTTTGTGACCCTCTCCCAGGATGGGGAACTTGAGGAGCTCCTTCATAAAACACTGGTGTGTTGTATTCCTGTTCTTCAGGAGTTGGATGGATGATTCTTGTGGGTCACCTCCAGCTCAGCATATTCCATGATTCTGTTTATCACAGCTTGGCTTTGTTGCTGATCCAGAGCTAAGAAACTGGGATTTGGGGGAGCTTTATGAATGTGCAGTGTGCTTCCTAGTTTCACACTGCCATTTTCCCTGGATTTGTAGTGAGCTATGGGTAGTGCTCTGGACACAGTTCCAGTCTTGGAATGCGGTGATGGTGTGTCTCACCCTCCTCTTGTGTCATTGTAGGCATAAAAAGGAGAAGAAGAAGGACAAGGACAAGGAGAGGAGCAGGGACGAGAGGGAGAGGTCCACAAGCAAGAAAAAGAAGAGCAAAGACAAAGAGAAGGATCGAGACCGGAAATCCGAGAGTGACAAAGACGTGAAAGTATGTTTAAACACCTGGGTAACCCCTCCCTGGGTAACCCCTCCCTGGGTAACCCGCCTAGATAACCCCCTTGGCTACCTTCCCTGAACAATCCACCCTGGATAACACCTTCCCTGGTTCCCTCTCTGCCCATACTCCCTGCACAGACCCTCCCCAGGGCAGGGAGGCAAATGTTAACGTGTCCTTTTCCCTGGCAAAGCAGGTCACAAGGGATTACGACGAGGAAGAACAAGGCTATGACAGTGAGAAGGAGAAGAAGGAGGAGAAGAAGCTGTCAGAGTCCTCCTCCCCCAAGGGCAAGGAGCCTGGGGCCGAGAAGGGCCCTGGGGACCCAGCCAGGGAGTCCAAGGTGAACGGGGATGACCACCACGAGGAGGACATGGACATGAGCGACTGAGCCTGCGCCACGCACCAGCGTCATTCCGTGTGGTTCCTTTATGCTGTACTTGTTATTCTCCACCTAGATGTCCCCAGCTCCGAGCTCTCCATGGTCTGTACCTCCTGATACTAACTCACACCCACAGCTTGCTAGAGAGGGACCCCCGTGGTGCCAGGCCGCATGCCCCTCCCACAGCATGGGCTGTGTCCCTGTAGTGCCCAGGGCCCAGCAGCACCGCTCAGCAGCGCAGGGAACGCTCTGGCTGCAGGGGGAGTGTGGCACAAATCTTGTCCTGCAGCCCCACGGCATCCTGGGAGACACTGAGGAGCTGAGGTGTGCCCACAGACACACCTGGGGATGGGCAATCCGTCGTGATCCATGGACTTGGCTCGGTGGGGTTTGGTTTTGGTTTGAGCCTTGAGCTAGGATTGGGTTTGGTTTGGTTTGCCCCATGGGTTTGGGTTGGCTTGGCCAGAGCTAAAATGCACTGAGGGCTTTGCAGTATGTCCTTCAGTTCCATTGGGGGTGATGAGTGCCACCCCAGGTGTGTGTCAGGAGCTCAACCCATGCAGCAGGTAGTACATTTTTAAAATGCCCTGGGTCTGCTTTTAAAGCAAGTCCACTTGATAATGTAATTTTTACTTGATCTCAAGTTGTACAAACTAATGAATTGTGTTCTGTCCCTGCAGCAAGTCCTGTTCCCCCTCGCACACAGTGATCCCATGCTATATGCAGAGTAGTTAGCAAAGCTGTTCCTTAGTTCCAGCAGCTCCAGAGCTTTTACTTTTGTGCAGGTAAAGAGACAAAGTAGGCGACAAAGTCTGTGCCATGTCCATGTACAGTTTCAGAAATTGTTTTACAGAACTTTGATAATAAAACCCTGAAATGTAATTCCTCTTCCTAGGAAACTTCCTCCTGTTTGTTTCCACCATCAACTTTCACCTCTTCCAGATTTAAAAGGCTGTAACAGCTCCATGTCTTCCAAACCTGCTTAAATCATTACACTAAAGGAATTACTTGACTTTGAGGGGGAAATAGGTTTAAATAGGAGTCTGGAGGTATTATGGGAGTGTGGAGAAGGACTTGGGGTGCTGTGGGTGAGAGGCTGGATATGCCCCACCCTAGAACCCCTGAGTGCTGGGCTGATCCCACAGCAGGTGTGGGAGGATTGTACTCTGTTGTCTGGCTCAGGTGAGACCTCACCTGTAGTGCTGTTGGTGCCCCCAAAGATGTGGAGCTGCTGGGGAGAGTCCAGGGGAGGCCATGGAGATGCTCCAAGGGCTGAAGAACCTCTGCCATGGAGCCAGCCTGGGAGAGCTGGGGCTGTCAAGCCTGGAGAAGCTCCAGGGAGACCTCAAAGCCCCTTCCAGTGCCAAGGGATAGGGGGACAGGACAAGGGCTTCCCTCTGCCAGAGGGCAGGGTTAGATGGGATATTGGGAAGGAATTGTTCCCTCTGAGGGTGCTAAGGCACTGGCACAGGTCACCCAGAGCAGCTGTGGCTGCTCCATCCCTGGGAGTGTTCCAGGCCAGGATGGATGGAGCTTGGAGCAACCTGGTCTGGTGGGAGGTGTCCCTGCCCATGGCAGGGGGTGGAATGAGGTGAGCTTTGAGGTTCTTCCAACTCAACCTGAATCTTTCCATGATTCTAGATGTACTTCTCGAAAGAAAAGTATTCCTAAATCTGCTTTATATATTCGTCTTGTATCCATCCAACATTGCATCTTGTGATCCAGGTGAGCCTAGTTCTGAATTTTGCAGGTAAACCCTCTGTAAGGACTGAACATAGCTGAGCCAAGTTCAAGCTCCTTTTCCCTCCCTCCCAGGCAGCTGTTTCCAACCTCTGCTTCCTCAGCTCCAGATGAATCCCTTCCCTTGTCCTGTGTAAAATGCGGGAGTCAGAGAGGGCAGAGGCTGTAATGAAAATGCAGGAGTTTATTTAGAAACCCTCAAGCCAATGCCCGTGCAGCACTCAGCAGTGCCAGCCTGGCCCGCCCTCCCAGCCCTGCTGTGCCAGGGGAAGAGCTCTGCATTGCACAGATGCAGCAGTTCCAGAATCCAACAGCTTCTTTTGGTCTTTATTCTAACAAATGATACAACCAAAACTGACTATGAGTGAGAGGAGAGAAAACCAGGGACAGAGCAGTGAAACGGAGGGGAAAGTGATTTGTTCCAGGGAGTTAAAAACTGTCAGGAAAATGAGTGAAACTGCAGCATTACAGGAGTTGGTTAATCTGGATTTAAACACAGTTCTCCTGCTGGGAATTACAACTCAGACAGTAAAATAACAGAGTGGGCTAGCAACAGAACATGGTGGGAGTCCAGCACAAACACAGCCACAGGGCTCTGGGACACACGGAGCCAACACAGGAGTTGGGAGGCGCAGGGAGGTGAGTGCAGTGGCTGACAGCAGCTCCTGGGGAGGAACTCTGACGCCTTCCCTTTGCCACAGCTTAAAGCAGCAGGTTGGAAGACCAGTGGAACAGTTTGGTTATACGACAACCTGTAGGATCCTTCCATAATTCGAGTTAGCAAAATTCCTGGTTGTCTTTATAGCCATAAAACCCTCAGGACAAGCCATGGTGGGACAGAAGCACAGCCCCCAGAGGGCTCCAGGCCCTCCCCAGCCCCAGGCACAGCTTTCTTCCTTCTCATATGCTGTGTCTGCTCCCCCTGACCCCTGCAGTGTCCCTCAGCAGAGGGTCAGAGATTACCACCCAGCCTGTGCTCCCCCCTGGACACAACATCCAGCTGCTGTTGTCCAGGAAGGTGTTTCTGGTCATGCAGGTGTTCCTACCCGCCCCCTCTGCAGTGATGTCCCTCTTGCCACCAGCTCCAGCTGACACACAGGACACAAAGCTCTGTCCAACTACCCCCTGACTCTGTGTTCACTCACTGGCACCAAACCTTCCCTTAATACCCAGCGGTGGCCTTGAGGAAAAGTCAAGCTCAATCCTGCTAGCAAAATGAACTTCCCAAAGCTCCAGGAGCAGGAGATGGGAGTGGAGAGGGACCCTGTGCCCACAGCACAGCTGGGGCTGAGGCTCCCTCAAGCCAGGCCCACAGACACTGTGCAACACAAAACCCTGGGGACAGAACAAGTTTCAGTGGAGAACACATGGATAAGGAATGCAGAGTCCCAACTCCTCATGCCTGGGGTGCTGCAGCCTGGCCCAAAGGTGGGCTCAGCCCAATGTCCCTCACTGAGGATTCCTGCAGTGTATCCATGGGGAAAACATGCCCCAGGGTGTCCCTAGGTCTGAGAACTTGGCCCTGGGAATGCTTCAGACAGAAAACACATCCCCAGGGGTTGGAGGGAAACGTACCTAGAGCAGCTCCAGGAACCCATGGGGCTGACACAGACCTGGGGGGGGTAATCCCAGGGGAGTCACATCCCTAAGCTCCACAGGGAGCAGAGGAGAAGCAGCTGAGTGTGGTCACTCTGCTAATGTAAAACAACTCTCCAGTCACCCAAATCTGTGCCACACATACCTCAGATGAGCAGAACCCACCACAAGCCCTGCTGCCAAGCAGGTGTCAGAGGGAGCAGCTGTGGAACCTCTGACCTGCAGCCAGAGGCCATGGGAATCCCAAAGAACACTTCCAGGCCCTGCACTGGGCTCTGAGCAGGCCTCATCCAGAGACAGATGGAGCCACAGGACCCTCAGTACCAGCCCAGAGCTGTCCTGCCCCACAGCCCCAGTGCTGGGCACTCCTTCCACAGAGCCAGGGAGGAATTGGGGATAACCAAACGTGAAGTAGCACAAACCTGTGGCTCCTCTCTGCAACATTGAGGAAAGGATTTCTGACATTCACCTAGGGGAGAAACCTCCCGTCCCTGCTGGAATTCCCAAAGAACTGGACACCCCTGTATGGCACCTGCTCTGGCTCCACATGAGTCCTGCAGCCACACAAACATTCTGCCCTGGCTGGGCACTAGGGAAGGGCACAGCACTGACACCTGTGCTGTCCCCACAGGCACTGACCCAAGCTCCAGCCCAGTCCATCCCAGCTGGCTCCAATGAGCAGCACTAGCTGTGTCAGCTCAACCCAGAGCTGTGAAACACCTCCAGAATTCGTCATTACTTGGGGGCCCAAGTTCCATCATTCCCAAGGGATGTTCCACACCTGCCCTGACACAGCACTGAAGGAGTTATTTCCCTTGGGTTCTTTCCCTGTATAGTCTTACTTGGAATTGGAGTTGGAATCAACAACTCCAGTGTGCTGATCCCAGGCTACAAAGCTACACCACTCACCTGTCCCAGCTGTCACCTATAGGTTCCCAGTGGTGCTGAAGACCAAATCCTCACACTCCAGTGCACCTGGACTTGGCTGACAGTGATTCCCTGGGACTCCCCCTTGGGTGTGGCTACTGCTCTTCTCCAGAGCAGCCTCTCTGGGCTGAATCAGATTCCAGCAGCTTGGAAGGACACCTGGCCCACAGGTGTATTTCCAGGTGTGCCTGACACCTTGCTCTGTGCTGAGCCCCTCCCTGGATCCCTGTGTGGGCAGCACAGCTGTTCCCTCCACTGAGCATCAGTGATCCTATTCATTATAAACTTTGATCCTTAACTCTATGGAATTCCAGAAAAAGTTTTACCTACAGTGCACAAAGAATATAATTTGGAAAATATTTACAGTTTTGTACAATGACACCACAGCACTTGAATCTAAAGTTCTTCATACAAACAAATAGCACCATCAGCCTTTTGCACAAATCCTGCCCAAGAAGCTCCAAAACTAGATCAACTGTCAGATGAGGAGACTGGAACCATGGGGACTAGGGACAAGCTGGAGGAGAGAGAGCACTGAGACATCCATGGTGTGGGGTGGGACTGGATGAGCTTTTAGGTCCCTCCCAACCCCATCTGGGACTCTCCATGATAAAAACAGGAAGAGGCAGGAAATTAAAATTGGGAACATTGCAAACCAAACATCCCTGTGAGCACCGGGAGGGACCTGATTGCAAGGGGAACCTCAGGGTCAGTGCCTGAGCTTGTCATGGTGCCTCTGTGCACCCACAAGCTGATCTGATGGTGCTCAGACACTCTGAGGCAATTCTCCTTGGTGAAGGTCACAAACAGGATTACAAGTGACATTTCTGGCCAGCCAAGCCCAGAGTGCACTCCTCAGGGACCACAGCCAGGAAGCACAGAGCCAGGAAG